AGACAGAATGAGAGAAAGTGAAGAAAGAAAAGAGATTAATGAAGGAGAGCAGAAGAAAAACTCACATAACTGGTCACAGAGGTTTTTTTAAGGATTTTTTTCCCACATAACGACAGATTTAACTGTTTAATGTTATTGATTTGATCATGGAGGCAGCCTGACTCACACAAGCTGCGGCCATGTTTAGATCCACTTTTTGTTTGTCTCGCCGCTACAGGCTACGAGCTACCAGCTAAAGTCTATAAGTTAGAAGGTACGAATGATAAACTTCAATCTACAGTTTGTTAGTTTTCCTGTGTGTTTATGTTGTGTGTTGTGTGTTGTGTGTTTGTCTCCGCAGGGTCGTTCAACAGCAGCCTCCGTCCTCCTGAAACTTCCTTTAAAGTTATTTTTTGGTTGGGATACTTCAACAGCTGTTTGAACCCAATCATCTACCCATGCTACAGCCGTGAGTTCAAACAGGTACTATTACTACTCTGTTACTGATACTACTACTACTACTACTACTGCTGATGGTACTAATAGTACTGACAGAGCGACAAAGGTAAGAGCTTGACTAGTTGAAGGTGCAGGAGCCTGACAGTGGTTTCAGTACTGACGGGTACTTTGTTGATCTTTAGGCCTTCATCCGGATCCTTCGCTGTCGTTGGAAGAGGAAGCGTCAGGGCTGGCAGGCGTACTACAACTACCGCAGCCATCAGAGCTCCAACACCTCCTCCTTTCTGAACGGCAGCCAGCAGACGCTGTCCCCCGTTAGCTCAAGTCCACGCTGCGTCTCCTCCAGGCTCCGCCCACCACCCTGGCCCTCCTCCCCGAATCGAGACCGCCTCCCCGGGTCTGCGGGGGGAGGACGGGCAGGCTCGGTGTCCCCGCTCTCTAAGGATGCTGGGAGGGCAGGGCAGAGGCTGATGGTCAAACAGTGACAGAGCAGAATGGTGGAGACTGACTCACCTGCTTCCTCAGGATCAAAATGCACAGGCGTCACTGCTGACATCACCGGTTGCTCCCTCGACTCAGGTGTGAGGACTGTTCCCGCCTCTGGATGACACACCTGAGAGAGAGGGCGGAGCTCCGCACCCAGATCAGCTGCTGCAGGTTTCTCATTAGTTCACTGCTCCTCACGAAGCTTTCACCTGAACTCACAGCAGTAAAATAAAGAACTCTCACCCAGACAACCTTAAAATCATAAATCATCAGAATGTTCAAATAAAAATCGGACATCAGTCAAAACCCTGAGATAAGATTCTAACATTTCAAATATCAGAGAAATATGAACCAGCTGAGTGAATCAAGTACAACAATAAACCTCATGAAATTAAAGATAAATGATCTTAAAATGGCTGTGAACATATTGGATTCATTGACTTACTGTGACGTTCTTTTCTGTCTTAATCATTAAACCCATCCTAAAATACGTGGCTAAAAATCTAAAGAATTTAAACAATGATGGAAAAACAAAAAAGCTTCAACAGCAACTTGACTTAACGAACGTTAGCTTGATGATGAGCTCAGACAGCCGTCTTCTTTCCTCTGGTCTTTCTGTATTTATTTGTTTAAAGTGTTAAATGTTTATTTAAAAGTCAAGTGATCATTGTTATTATTATTATTACTAAGACAACAGGTCAGTTCTTAAACTTTGGTGGCTACGTGAGAAAAGTTGTATTAACTTGTGTTGAAAGTTATTTCATGTTTCATATTAAACAGTATTGTGTGTTTATTATGTGCACTTTACATTTTGATGTTGACTCTTATTGTGAAGGAGCACTGACTGTTCTAATGTTGCTCAGTGATCACAGAAGCACCTGGTGGACGTTTGAGGAAGTGCAGAAAAACTTTCACATAGAATCATGTACAGTATGTGTTTCCTTTGTGCTAAGCTAGGCTAACACTTTCCTCTTGATTCTAGTCTCTGTGCTAAGCTAGGCTAACACTTTCCTCTTGATTCTAGTCTCTATGCTAAGCTAGGCTAACAGTGTAAGATAACCTCTTGAAATGATTCTTTGTTTATGCATTTAAAGTTCCCGCCAAGAAGAGGCCTGTCGAGTCACGTGGTGAATGACATCAATATCCTGCCGTGACTCTGACAGGGCGGGGAAAGTTGTGCGTGATGCGATCATGTGATCTCACTGTAACTTCCGCACCAAGCGGAAGCCCTCTGTGATTGGAGGAGTGCACTACCGCTGCTCGTGACCAATGAGCGAGCAGCTGGAGGTGTGTATATACTCAGCTGCTCTCTCTGCGGCTCATCTCTCTCATCTCAGTCGAATCGCAACAATCCAGGAAATGTCTGGACGAGGAAAGACCGGCGGCAAGACCCGAGCCAAGGCCAAGACCCGCTCCTCCCGGGCCGGCCTCCAGTTCCCGGTGGGCCGCGTCCACCGGCTGCTCAGGAAGGGCAACTACGCTCAGAGAGTCGGGGCCGGAGCTCCGGTCTATCTGGCCGCGGTGCTCGAGTATCTCACCGCTGAGATCCTCGAGCTGGCCGGGAACGCTGCCCGCGACAACAAGAAGACCCGCATCATCCCCCGGCACCTGCAGCTGGCGGTCCGCAACGACGAGGAGCTCAACAAGCTGCTCGGCGGAGTCACCATCGCTCAGGGCGGAGTTCTGCCCAACATCCAGGCCGTGCTGCTGCCCAAGAAGACCGAGAAGGCCGCCGGCAAGAAGTGAGCAGCGACACGCTCCTCCTCCTCCACCTCCACCACCCAACGGCTCTTTTAAGAGCCACTCACCGTCACTCAAGAGCTCATTCTCCCTCATCACTCACGAGTCCAACCATCACGAGTCCTCCACTCATCATAACAAACATGAGCTCAGGTGTTAGCAGATGTTAGCTTCCATCAGGTGTCAGTAGCTGTTAGCAGATGTTAGCTTCCATCAGTGAGCAGCACTTTGAGGAGACATGAGCAGAGAAACATGGAGGGAGACCAGGGACAGTCGAGCACCATCAGGTATCAGCAGCTCTGAAACAATAACAGTGTCATGGATTAGTAACGATAACAAATCATTAATCACTGAAGTAATAATAATAATGGTTGTTCTGGGGTCAAATATCAGACAGAGAGATGGACTTTAGGAGAAACAATGGATGAGTTACCAGATGAGGCCCAGCACAGGATCAGACCTGGTCTCCAACATCTTGGGATCACGTGACGAACTGAACAAATAATTAAAATGATTTCATACATTTTCAGTGTGAGACTTGATAACATCAGTAAACATTTTTCACTCAATTCATTTGAAGTAAATGTCTTATTAAATAAATAAGGCTGTTCTCAGGGTCAACCACATGAGACGCACAAAATATCAAACAACTCACCGGTGAGCTGCATCTAAAACATGTTTAGATTTAATCATTATTAGTTAGTTAATGACTCTTACACTGTCTAATGACTCTTACTGTGGTTTGTTAACAGGTTTGGTCAGTGGCTCATGGAGAAGTGATGGTCTGAACATTTAATCTCTGAGATTAATAGAAATAAAGAGTTGTTGTGTGAAGTCATTAGATCAGTGTCTTCAACATTTATTATTATATAATAATAGTAATATATTGAACCAGGGGCCTGGTGTCTTGTTCCATTGTGTTTTGTTTCATGTCTCTCTGCGGACGTAACAGAGGACCAGAGCGACTGTGTGGGCGTGGTCAAACGTGCTTGCTGCCTGGTCATCGCCTGGCCTCTGTGACGTGAACCAGAGGTTTGTTCTGATCCTGGATCAGTTTAAATGGATTCAGGATCGATCTGCTGCTTCGCTGAGCGGTGAGTGGCTCTTAAAAGAGCCGTTGTGTGGTGAGCGGGGTGCGGGCAGGTTAGGCTCTCTCGCCGCGGATGCGCCGGGCCAGCTGGATGTCTTTGGGCATGATGGTGACCCTCTTGGCGTGGATGGCGCAGAGGTTGGTGTCCTCGAAGAGCCCGACCAGATAAGCCTCGCTGGCCTCCTGCAGCGCCATGACGGCGGAGCTCTGGAAGCGCAGGTCGGTCTTGAAATCCTGAGCGATTTCTCTGACCAGGCGCTGGAAGGGCAGCTTGCGGATGAGCAGCTCGGTGGACTTCTGGTAGCGGCGGATCTCTCGGAGAGCCACGGTCCCGGGCCGGTAGCGGTGAGGCTTCTTCACTCCGCCGGTGGCCGGGGCGCTCTTGCGGGCAGCCTTGGTGGCCAGCTGCTTCCTGGGAGCTTTGCCGCCGGTGGATTTACGCGCTGTTTGTTTGGTTCTCGCCATTTTTCTTCCTGAGTCACTTTGAGGAGAAGCAGCGGAGAGAGGCGCCTTTTATACAAGCTGCCGCACACAGCTCTGCGCTGATTGGCCCTGGCGAGGGGAGGCGCGCGTTTTATGTGATCAACGATTGGTCAAAGGGAATTTGAAATTTTAAAGTGAACCAATCACCGACGTTGGCGGGTTTTTGATTCAGAACAAGTTAATTATGTTGGTCACGTGACCTAAAGTTCAAACACTGCTCAGATGTACCTCATGTACAAGTACACAGAGTAAATACACAGACGTGCACAGTACAGCTTCACAATATCAGTACATAGTATCATTACACAGAATAAGTACACAGTGTAACTTCGCAGTATAACTACACAATATCGATACACATATAAATAGATGGTATAAGTATAGAATAGACACCAATTATATAAAAACACAACATAAGTACACTTTATATAAACACACAAATTAAGTACACATAATAAGTATTATTTGTAGTATTTGTAGTGTGTAAAGCAGATGTGCGTTTCATCTTCAGAACAGTTGAATCATTTTTACACACGTTTGAGTCTCAGAGCATCAGAATGTTTCTAGAATATAAACTGCCACACAGTTGCTATGTTTACATGTTTCTAGTTGAAATGTAGAAGTTTAAAATCATCAAATCACTTGAAGTTTTTAATGAATTTCTTACTTGTCCTTTCTTTCCAGCTCAACACTTCACCAGTACACGCTGCTTATTTTAATACTTGTAGCATTATCTTTATTTTAAATCAAGATCCATTTATCTTCAAACCTTCCATTTTCCCTATCCTGTCCACGAGTTCCCTTTGTGTAACTTCTCTAGTTCCCCAAATAAAAAATAATAGTCACTGTGATTTTATTGATTTTCTTTATTGTTCTTTCTGTGGGAATAAAATATGCTTGATATAGATAACAGTTAATAGATAATAGTTCATTTTTTAATTCTAGTTTTGTATTACATTGATTTATTTTCTCATTTGTGCAATTTTTCTTTTATTGTCATTTGTTCTTGGATGTTGGTCACAGGTCATGTTTCCCTCTTTCCAACCAGAGCCCCTCTGTTTTATTGTGGTTCAGTTGTGCTGGAGCTTCTTCATTCAGCTGAAGATGTTTGTTTACTATATTTCATTTGTCTTAAACTTTTCCTATAACAATGAAATCATCAACAAAACAACAACAACCACACATCACTGGCTCTGATTCAGTCTTTTTGAGTTTGTTTAGGAAATGTAATTATTACAAAGATATATGAAGCAGCTGGAAACAGGCTTGTTGAACTCTCTATTCTTAATTTCAGGTGATTATGTTGTCTCCCCGATCATGTTCTTATTCCATCGTTTCTTCATGTTACAGATTTGTCTACATTCCTCAGGGTAACGTGTCTGCAGGTGTTTGGTTCTTGTGACTATGTGGAGTTCATGCATCAAACATCAAACTTGATTAGTAGAATTCAGGACCTGAAACTTGTTCCTCTGAAGTTAAACCAACTTTAGGTCATTGCTAGTCACTACTGCCGTTCGCTTCTGCGGACGTATTAGAAGACTGTATGTGCATGTTCCAGGAGGATGAGTGGAGGACTCGTGATGGTTGGACTCGTGAGTAATGAGGGAGAATGAGCTCTTGAGTGACGGTGAGTGGCTCTTAAAAGAGCCGTTGGGTGGTGGAGGTGGAGGAGGAGGAGCGTGTCGCTGCTCACTTCTTGCCGGCGGCCTTCTCGGTCTTCTTGGGCAGCAGCACGGCCTGGATGTTGGGCAGAACTCCGCCCTGAGCGATGGTGACTCCGCCGAGCAGCTTGTTGAGCTCCTCGTCGTTGCGGACCGCCAGCTGCAGGTGCCGGGGGAT